GTCAGCTTTTCGTTAAAGGTTTGTAAGGCAGAAAATGATTATTGTGAAGATATTATTAATGAAGGGGGAAATACTTTAAACCCATTTGAGTGGTTAACCGTGAGACCAAATAAAAACAGCACAGAAAAACACATCCAGCTAAACCTAAGGCTTGTCCACACTCGAATTTACTGAGTGTTTATAGCTGTCTGTGTTTCCATTTAATTTGCATAGTCTTGGTTTTTCTGTCTTGGAAGGTTTGCTTAGCAGCTTCTTTGACGGCTATTAAACACCAGGTCAAAAAAACTATTAAGTCTGTTTGCTTCTAACCTCAGAATGCTTTGATGGCTGCTGATTGCACAGCTCAGTGGGAAAGGCCTTGCTTTGCAGGCAGAAGGTCCCAGGTTCAAAGCCTGATATCTCCAGGTAGGACTGGGAGGGACCTTGCCTGAAACCCTGGAGAGCCTCTGCCTGTCAGTGTAGACAATACTGAGGTATATGAAGCAATGGTCTGACACAGTATAACACAATTTCCCATGTTTCTAGGCTCCTATACATACTGAAGCCTCCCTGTTCCGCTCCCTAATTTTTAAAAACAATGCATTTCATACATATTCAACATGTTGTTTTTATTGTTTTAATTATGGTTGCTAGCAGCCTGGGGTTGCGGCTCAATATGTAGAGACAGAGAAGTGTGGCAGAAATATTATGATAAACAGATAAACAAACATAGAAAATGGTTCCAGGCAGGGAGGCAGATAAGACAAGAGTCCTCCGGTGACCAATCCCTTTCCTTTCCACCCGTTGGTCTCTGTCCTCAGCTGAACTGGAGGCCCAGACTTCTGTGTGGCGTGCCTTTGTGTAATCTGGATCATGCCACTGGGTTGTTTTAAGGCGGATGTTTGAGGAAGCCAAGGGCAAAAGGTGGCCACTATCCTGCCTCTAATAAACATGCTTTTCTTTATTATTTGGACAGTTGTTCAGCCGAAGCACTGGGTCTTTTGCAAAAGTGGATGGGTTATAGAGAAGGCGCACCCCTCTCTTTTCTGGAATATTGCCTCTCATCAACAAGTTGTCACAGAATCTGTTGCTCCACCTACGACACTTGCATAAATTCTTCAAATCTATGAGAGGATCAAAGTGTGTCTTTAAGCTGCTCTGTACATGTTTTATTCATATTTTTAACCTCCTTCTATTTACCTGCTTAACAACCTGCCAGAAGTAGCTGTTGGCAAGCAGCAAATTACTCATTTAGTGGACATCTGCTCCATTATTTTTTTTAATGAATAATTACCTGATGATAAATTTGTGGGGCCTATTTGGTGGTTCTGCATGTTGAAGATTCTGAGAAGCCTCAAAGCCTTTCCTGAACAAAGAACTTCACAAATCCAATGGCCTGTAATATGCAGTGGCAATTGCTTGTTAGACCACATAGATGTTAGGGTTAGCAGGTGGCATGGACTCGTGGATCTGGCCAGGGTGGTAAGTGTGGTTGGTTGGTGACTTTGTCTTATCCTCTCCTTCCAACCTGGAAAGTGGTGTCCACTTTCAGGTGCTAGTGGGGCGTGGAGTGCTGGCAGTGTATAGAAGATCTGAGCGCCACACTTAATGAGATAAAGAATTACACAACTTTTAGAAGACATCTGAAGGCAGCCCTGTATCGGGAGGTTTTTAACACTTGATGTTTTTATTATGTTTTTATTTTTTAATTGAAATAAATTTTATTTGGCTTTTACAAGTATAAAATTATAACAATACAAAATACATATCCACATTTAAAGATTCCTCCGAATATCTGGACTTTCCACCTTCCCCTTCATGGGTCCTATTGTTAACCTTTTCAACTGCATATTATTCAGTAATCCATATTTTATGTCACTCCATTTTGTCCATAATATTTGCTACGTTACAAGTGTTATTGCAGTCCTGCTAATGTTTTCATCTGCTTACAGTGGACTCCCAGATAAGTTATGAATTTTCCAATTCTTTATTAAAGTTTTGGTCTTCTTCGTTCCTGAACTTTCTGGTCAATTTTGCCATTTCTGCATAGTCCAACAGCTTAATTTGCCATTCTTCTCTAGTAGGGACTTTGTCTTCTTTTATTATGTTTTATTATTTTTTTATATGCTGTAAGCCACCCAAAGTGGCTGTGGAAACCCAGCCAGATGGGCAGAGTATAAATAAAATCATCATCATTATCTCATGCACACATTGCCTGCCATCTGCCCTTTAAGCTAGTCTGGTATGTAGTATTCTCCACATGTAGCTGGGGTGCCAACCTGGAATAAAGTATGGGGGCAGGTAAGCTCTGCCCCACATAATCAGTCACATGAAGGGGCACATGCACACCAATAGAATGGCAATGCCCATCAACTTTGGGGATCCCAGCCCCCTTGAATATTTTATTGGGGGGAGGGCAAAGGGACCTCAGCCCCTAAGAGTTGGCTCCTATGCTACGTAGCATCGGGAGGGAGGCCACCATTTTGTCCTTCACCTCACCATCACCAATTGCCATAGACCAGTCCTGGCTGCACAAAAGCACCCACTCCTAAATTAAGCAGATGTGCTCTGAAGACCAGGAAAAAAATAAGGCATCACACAATTGCCAGCATTGCCCTGTCAGTAAGGCCCAGCTCCTGTAATGCTGAGACATTCCCCCTGTTTGCGTATATCACTGCCCTCTGCAAACCTGGAAATTTCCCCTTGCCAACTCTGGCATTGTCTTTTGCTAACTTCCCAAAGCTCAGGATGGGGCCCAGCCATTTGCTTCACTGATGACTTCTTTCTCTGTTTTTCTGTTAGGTCAATGACTCGGCCATTCTGGATAGTTCTTCTGCCTGGCTGTTTCCTGGACACGGAAAGGACTGGCTTAAACTCCAGCCCTGACTAACCCTAGGAATTTAGGAGTTCTAACCCTTTACAGAATTTTAGCGAAGTATTGCCCTCCACCTCAAACTTATAACAGTATTCTAGTCTAGCTTTCTAGTGACTACTAGTTTCACTCCCTCATCCCCTTTTTGGCATGAATATGCTGTTTAGTCAAGTAAGCCCATTTGCAGACTGCAGGAATATAGTCTAGACACAGATTTCAGTCTGTGAGATCCCACTAACATTTATTTACTTCATTATAAACTTTCTGCCTGGCCTCTCTTTTCCTTCACTCTGGCTTTAATGTCAATAAAGTTGTACTTGAATTATAGTGGTGTTAAAACAGAACCACAGTGAGTAGCTCTGAATGCAGAACTACCTGAAATAGCTGTCAGCCATAGATTTCCCCTCTGCATTCTCTTTTGCTTCTCTCCCATCATGATGCTTCTGAATTCTTTCAGGTTCCATGAAGCCATAATTCTTTCCTCCCTTTTTTTTTTTTTTTTTTTTGGTGCTGTAAAGGTGGATAACGAACATCTGTTCTGAAAGCACCCTGATAGGAGAAAAACAGGTTCTGGCTGGAATATCACTTGATATCTCACCTTTGCAGTGTCTGCTTTTTATGCCTATTGTTCACGCCATTTCTAAAAATAAGATTTATTGTAAGGTAAATGGGTAGCAGAGGGAAGGCACTGTGAATGGGATGCCAATTCCAACTGGTATATTATTTTTGCTTCCATGTTGGACTGTATCTAAATTTCTTGTCTATTATTGTATGTTTTTCCCGTTGGATAAACTGAATGCATTTAGATAGAACTGCATATAAGAGCCTAGTTTCTAAATATTGCATGTGTAACGGCGGCAGCTCTTGCTGTATGCTAACATTTTAAATTACCTTAAAAAGGAAAGGAGAAAGGGAATCAGTCTCAAAGAAAACTGTATCCAAAGTTAATGGGCCCAGTCTCTCTTGTGCGAGAAAGTGTTCGGTTTGGCATGTTAATGTGATAGCACTGCATTCCAGTGAGTGGCTCCCATAAAGGAGAGCAATGTTCAAATAATGGGTCCACCTTAGGCAAGTCATTACCTTTCTACCTCAGGTGCTTATCTCCAGATGGGGGTATAATAGTACGAAAGCCCCTTCTTTTCAGGAAAATAGTGAGAATTAATGAAGTACTAGTTAGAAGATGCTTGGCACACTTGAACTGTTTTACAAATGTGTGCCATTATTTGGAGCTCATCCACAGTCAGGTTTAATGGCATTCAATTAGAATAATAGCCATTTTGTAGTCCTACATTTACTTCCATTCAGTCACTGAGGCACCTGAGGGCTCTGTGCACAAGAAAGGGCCTTGAGACACATGCTCTGCCCAGTTAACACATCATTCACTGTGAACACTCAAGTGCTACTTAGCACTTGGTAGTGGAGTTAAGCACTGTCTTTCTCGTCATTATAGGTTGGGGGCTAAGACTCTATGCTTTAGCTTGTACTGGTAGTAATTCTCATTTTCCCTATATAGTACTGTGTTAACCTGTTCATCATTTTTTTAAAAAAATTGATAAGTAATGATATGTACTCTCACTCCCTCACTGGGCCCACCCCCAAAAGACACTGTCAGGAGTCCAGCTTCCCAGCTTGATAACACAGTAAGTGTAGGTAATTAAAAAGGAGGATTTATTGCAAAAACAAACAGATAGCTCCAGACTGCTCTGACAAAGCCTCTGGCATCATTACTCAAGATGACCCTTCTGAAGACTCCTTCCGGCCGCGACAGAAGATATTGAACTTATGACTCTTATGTCTCTTGTTTTGCTTTCTATCTAGCAGCCCTCTTCGGACTTAGTGGACTCGCTGACTCTTCGGACTTAGTGGATCAGCTCCAACCTCTTCCTGTGCTGCGAGGTTGTCTCTGAGTCTATTCGTGCCTGTCTGTGCTTCCTGCGAGCTTTGGCTGTGTTCTAGCCAACTCTCAGTTACTGCCTTATCAGCCTGCCCGTCAAGGTCAGGAAGAGCCAAAGTCTGTAGCTTCCGGCTCTCCCCTGCCTAACTAACATCTAAGCCTCTCTGTTCCTGGCTGCTTTCTGCAGTTGGCTGCAAATCTTAGCTTGGAGCTGGCTCCTTCCTGACAGACACTGGACAAATCAATAATAATAAAGGGGAGGGAAGCTACTTGCTCAGAGAGGTGAGAGAACTACCTAGTTCTTAACTGAATGTGGCTCTGCAGCTCAGTAGATGGCTAGGCAAAGAAACAGCTCTGGGCATGCTCAGAAATTTAGGAATGATATAGCTGAGTCGGTAAAGCATGAGACTCTAAATATCAGGGTCCTGGGCTTGAGTCCCATGTTGGGCAAAATACCCCTGCATTGCAGGGGGTTGGACTAGATGACCCTTGTGGTCCCTCTGTGAATGATTCTGATTTGGCTTACCAGGCTTTCAGAGTCAATGTCCAGCTTCCCTTCCTCCCCATCCCAGTCTGTGAACAAGAGCTTAAACCCCTCAAAGTTAACAGACCTAATTAAGTCATATAGACTACATAGGCACAGTTTCTGCTTAAAACAGGACAGCATAAACCTAAGCCACAGAGTCTAGAGGAAAACATGAATGGCAAGTAAATCTGCATTTTGCTTTCCCAAAATGTAAACCAGGACCAAGTGGAATCAAAAGGGCATAACTGGAGGGGGGGTTTTCAGTTTATTGTGGGGAATTAATGAGGATTGAGAGAGAGGGGAATTTCCCTGGCACTTTATATGTCAAAAGAAATGCCCTGAGAAATTGTGGCAACTGGGACCCACTCGGAACCAAAATATGTCACCTTTCAATTTAGTTACATGCTGTTTATAAAACTGAAGTGTTTAAGAGTCCGCAGTAGCCTTGTGAGGAGGATGGTGAGAACATCAGAGCAACTTGGCCACACTCCTGTAACCACTCACTGGCCACACTATTGTGACCTCCCAGCAGCTCCACCAGGTCTAGTGCACACCAACCACCTCTGGGTACAGTCTCAGTTTAATTAGACATAGTAATATTAGGATTTCCTCCCTTCCCCTTTCCTACCTATGAAATACTTTCTCAAAACAGTTGTAACATGCCAGAAGAAACATTCATTACACAATTGGACATACTGATAACTTCCCATTCACTTGCCTTCTGGACAGAATGGACAACAGGGAAGCTTTTTGCTTATCATTTTAATATAAACTTTTATATAAAGCTGAAATCAGACCTGTGAATACAATGGCCACATTAGTCAACAGATAATTTTGTGTTTTTCTTTCTTCTTCCTTCCTGCTTTGAAAAAACACCCTGTGCTTTTCTATAATCAATTCTTCTTTTCCCTTATTGTGTCTTGCACCATTATCTCATCCCCCCTCTTTTAAACATGTGATATTTGTAAGTGCTTTTACAGCATTTCATATTAAGATCTTGGAAAGCAGATTTCACTTTATTGAATTTTGTGAAGTACCCCAAGTGTCAACTTCCCTGGTAAATTGAAAACATGACTCTTTATTTTTTTCTCTGTTTCTCTCTCTCTCTTAAAATAAAAAACCCAGACATTATAGCAGGAGTGCATCCCAAAAATATTCCCACAACATGTTTTCACAATATTTAACTCAGCGAATTCACTGCAACACAATGTGGGTAGGACAACTGAACTTAAAATGGCTTTTAAAAAGATTAGAGTATGCTGGGTTGGAGCTCACAGGGAAAGCCTATGTGTATTCCTTCAGACCCCCACCCCCAAAACACATGGAAAGCAGTGGAACGGACATATCAGCGGGCATGGGGCGAACATGTGCAACTCCAATTGACCTGTATATGGTCTTAATCACATAGAGATAGAATACCGCAGGACTGGCTTTACCTTTAGGCAGAATGAGTCATCTGCCTCAGGCAGCTGACTTAGCATGTCACAAAAGGCAGCAGATTGTTAATTATTTAATTTATTGTTCATACAGTTTTACATGTTGCATGCTGCATTGCAGATCCCTCATTGAGCAGGCAATTGGACCACATGACCTCAAACCTGATGATTCTTATCATTCATTGTGGCCTCCTATGACCTTAACGGTGGAATGCCCCTTTTATTCTTTCCACAGCATGTCTGAGACATGTAGCCAGAAAATGAATGGACCCCAATATAAAGCTGTAGCTCAGTTAAAAAAACAAAAAAAGTACATGCCTGGCACACAAGAAGTCCTAGGTTCAATCTCCAGCATGGACTCTTGGGGAAATTGTATTGTTTAACCAGAGGGAGTAGTGCTTGTGTACGGTCGTACCTTGGTAGTCAAACGCCTTAGTTGTTGAACAAATAAGTGAGTGTTCCGATTTGCGAATGTTTTTTGGAAGCCGAAGCTCCTGCGGCTAATCAGACGGTTTTCAAACCGTTTCAAGAGTCAAATGGACTTCCAGAATGGATTGAATTTGAGAACCAAGATACGACTGTACTCATTTTGTATGGAGCTATTATTCATAATAATTCTGATCAAGAAATGGTTCGTAATACATTCAAAAATAAAGAAATTCCTAAGAAATGCGACTCACCTACTGTTTCTGGGAAACTACCAAAGCAATAAATAAATATGACACACAGAGAAGACAAACAACTCACTCATTTGATGAGAAATGTAATAAACTGATTAATTTTCGGAATGGGACCTATAAATACAATAGTGCTATACACACAGAAATATTTCCATTAAAATAATTTAATACTTTTGAATGGGCTATTTTACATGTATAGTTATCGTCTGTTGTAATATATATTGATTCTATGAGTAATAAGAAATATAGATTGTTCTTGAGAGGGCTGGTGTTTCGGGAGAGGGTGGAGTTGCAGCTTTAGTAGGAGTTTGCCATATTTTATCCAGTTCTTCACACTACAGTGGTGAGGGGCAGGCTTGGACTGATTGCTGTGACACTTTCAGATGGAAACTGAAGTAAATGATAGGATTGAAGGAATCTAGAAGAAGTCTTTAATCCCCCGCAAGCTACTGAGACAGCCTATGAAGCTGAATGGAGGCAAAATGATGGACAATTGGTCATCTATTTCTCATTTCACTACCCAGCCTCATTTGAGCCAGCTCGAGTGCTACTGATCTGCCTTATTCAACTGTAGAAGAGACAATAAGTAGTTGCCCCCTGCTGTGTATGTCAAGGCTCAAAGACCAGGAAGAAGGAAGTAGCAGAAGAAATGGAAACCAGGAGCTGGTTTGACCATGGTTTACCACAGCTTAACCATGGTTTACCCAAACCACAATTTGTAAACTAATCTGAAACTTTGATTTCACAGCCTGGTTTGCAGTTAACCTCTAGCAATGGTTTAGGTATGTAGAAAACAACAACAAGAAATCACAATTAAGCATTATGTAAGCATAGGCTTATCATAATGTCACTTTTAATATGCATTATATTGATTCCTCCAGGCTTAGGAATCAAATGTTCCCTTTATTATATGACAATCTAAATTGTGTGGTGGTTTGAAAATGAAAATTAATCATGTCAGAGATATCAGATGACTGTATTTTAAATGAATACATCTAAAGGGCCGTCTCTACCACATGTATATACTTGCTTATTAATATTTTCTTCCAAAGCTCATTTCAGAATGCTCCCCATTCAAAACTTAAGCCTCCTCTGTCATGGTGTCCAAACTACATAACTCTTCCTAGGTGTTTCCACCTAGCACCAGTATAATTTTCCTTTAGATGTCAGGCAAAGTTGGTGTTTCTGCCCCCCCCTTGTGTTTTAATAAAATAAACTCTTTTATTGGTGTTTTCACCTGTTGCTTTTTACTTCATTTTGAATTTTATTGTCTGGATTTTCTGCTTCATTATGTTGGTTTGTTGGTTTTATCATGTATTATTTTATTTTAGTGTTTTTATTATTGTAAGCTGCCTTGAGGCTGTTTGGAGTAAGGCAGACAATATTAATTCAACCAGTTCCTGTGGGGCAAGGGATCAAATCCTAGAACACAGTATGGCTCCATGTACAGGAGTGTAAGTGAAACTGGGATGGTGGTATGGGCTCCTTAGGGGAGGAAGGGTGGGATATAAATTGAAAAGAAGGAGAAAGAGTGCTGTCAGGGTATATATTCCAGGGTCTCTATCAATATTCCACTGTCTCTATCAATGCACATAGTATGGAAATACAGGATGGACTCTAATAATAATTGTAGGGACTGGAGGTAATTTTAGAAGGAAAAGGTGAAACGAAAAAGGGAGGAAGAGCTACATCATACATCAAGGATGCGTATACTGTATTTGAGAGGAAATCTACGAATAAGTTGGAACCATATGGTAAAAATAAAAGGAGATTCAAATAATAGTGATATCACTTTGGGGGTCTGCTAAAAGAACTTGCATATGCAATCTCAGAGCCTTGGTCTATAACTTTTGAACATTCTTGTAAGAAGCGAGACTGGAGGTGAGCAGATGCCCCCAAATTCAAAAAGGAGAAAAAATATCAAAGCAGCTACTGACTGGTCATCTTGGCACTGGTTCTAGAACAGATAATTAATCAATTAGGTTTTGTGCCTTTAGAAACAAAATGCTGATAACAAGGAACTAACCCGGGTTCCTTAAGAACAAGCCATGCCAGACTAGACTTATCTCTCTTGTTTGATCAAGTTGCTGGTCTGGTAGAACAGGGGAGAGCTGTGGACATAGTATATCTTGATTCAGCAAAGCTTTTGACAAGGTCCCCCATGATATGCATGTTGGCAAGCTGGTGAAAAATCGGTTAGATGATGTTAGGTGGATTTGTAGCTGGTTGGTGGACTGTGCCCAAAGATTCCTCATCAATGGCTTTTCATCAACCTAGAGAAAAGTGGCCAATGTGTGCTGCAGGTTTATGTCTTGGGCCTGATGTTGTCTGACATCATTATAACTTACTAGGACAAAGAAGCAGAGGGAATATAGTGGTACCTTGGGTTACAAACACCTCAGGCAACAAACACTTCGGGTTACAAACTCCGCTAACCCGAAAGTAGTACCTTGGATTAAGAACTTTACCTCAGGATGAGAACAGAAATCATGTGGCAGTGGCACGGTGGCAGTGGGAGGCTCCATTAGCTAAAGTGGTACCTCAGGTTAAGAACGGTTTCAGGTTAACAACGGACCTCCAGAACGAATTAAGTTCATAACCCGAGGTACCACTGTACTCACTAGAACTGCAGAGGACAAAAAAAGCAAAAACCAAAACCAGGTAAGGTAGCAGACAAAAATAGAATCCAAGATACCTTGGCAGTATGAAGAATTGGGCCACCCCCCCCCCAAAAAAAATATCCTAACAAAATGAATTCCTCAGAGATAAATATTCTACATTCTGGTAGGAAGATTCAGATGCACAAATGGAGGATAGCTTCGAAGTGGTACATTTAAAAAGTGTTTTAGCTTGGTGATCACATTATGCCAATTAAGAAATGTATAATGTGAATGACAAATTTTCATTCCACTCCCCCTTTGGAAAAGAGGAAGGCTCTTTGTTCACTATGTAGGCTACTTTCCTGCAAAGTCAGCCAATTCAAAGTAGAAATGTTTTACAAAAATGCCAGTAACGAAACAACCTGATTGGCAGTGGACAGTCAAGCAGCGTACATGATTTGGGTGAACTAGACAGTTTCAGTGGCTCACCTAAATTACTTTAGCTATTTGTATGTCAATGACAATCAGAGCAAAACATAAGAGAACAGTCCTCTGAGTCTCTAAAAGGTAGAGGACACATGGTAACAGAGCAGTGAGCAAGATCGCGTTTCATGATCTATCAGGATTGTGTGTATTAAAAAGGGATGGCTTTTGCCTGTAAAGGGAGATTTTATCCAAATGAACAGAGGTTTCCAGATCAATGAAATATTAGATCTCTTTTATGTAACTCCATATTCAAAAGATGATGAAAAGATGGAGACAATAGTGGCGTTGGCTGAGAACTTAGTTCTGATTCACATTTTCATGTGAGCCCACCTACTGCACACTTCCTGAAACAATACACAAACGGTAATACAAGGATTCTTCAACATTCACAATTTTTTTCTGAATTTTGTTGTGCAGTTCTCCAACCGAAAAAAATGTACAAAAATGTGTATATTAGTTTAAAATATGCATAAAAATGCATGCATTAATGAAAATAACATACACAATGCACTCTATTAGGGGAAACAGCTTGTAAAAATGTTTCAATATCCAAATGTATATTGGAGAAAATTGTAAAGAATAAAGTATATAGTAGGAGAAATTTTCACTACAACAAATTGTGAGGACGGGTTGTTGTTTTTTAAATGTAGACTGATTCAAAAATGTGACAAGCTGAGCTTACAATTGAATAAAATTAGATACTACAATTTCAATAAAAAACGAAGCAGATTTGTTCTGGAACAAAAGGTAGGGAATAAACTCGGAAACAGTTCTGGCCATCCCTCAAATATAGGGTATTTCTTTTCTGCTAAATATTTGCCATTGCACATTTTCAACAAGTGTAGCAGGAAAATAAATTCACTAGATGTCTAAAAAATATAAAACCAGGGTCTTCACAGGATTTTGTTGCAAAGAAATGGAAGGAAGGATGGATTCATTCCACACTGAGGGTTTTATATCATGTTTCTACTGGCAACTTGCTCCATCACAGCCCTTTCATCCTGGGATGTAGAGTGTATCTCAAGATGGAATGCTCTGAATCCAATGAGCAGTCAATAAACAAGTCTCACTGAATTGGAGAGGTATCAGAATTAGGGAGGAGAATTTACTGCAGACAAGGTGGGTGCCTCAAATCCTTCCTGATCATCTTCCGAATCAGTAAAGAACCTATTCCTAACTGGATCAGACACCCTGCAGATGTAAGGTGGCTCATTAGAGCAACCCAGTTGTCCACATGCCCCACGGCTTCTGATGCAGTGAGGGAGAGGCAAATTTCCTCCTTCTCCCTACACCAGAGAAGGATCTCTGGACTTTCTGAGGAGGTTCAGAACCTGCTGGACTGTATCTAGTCCTGGATTCATTCTAGGAAGTTTCCACATCTACCAGAAGTCATAAATTCTTATTCCAGTAGGTGTGGAACTCTACCCTACTCCATGGGACTAATGCACAGTTCTATCCTGATAAACTGGCAGTGAACCATTATCACCCGATGAAAGAATGTGGGAGGTAGCCTTGATGTCAAAGGGTAGATTGAAAAACAAGAAATGGCTGCCAAGGACTGAGCAGGGCTAAGGAAGAGGGATATCTGCAATGAAGCCATTTAAGCATCTCAAAATCAGGCTGTATTAAGAGGGACTCCTCAGTCACTATTATGATGTCAGAAGCAATACTGAATAGGTTCTGAACAAATTACCACAAAAATGACCCATATGACACTAATGGTTGGAGGGGTGGAAATCAACATTCCATAGCAACATCATATTGTGTTTGAATGTCAGATTCTCTCCTGCTCCAGAAGGATGGGCCTCATCAATTTTTCGAAACACATATCAAACCATGTTTGGAAAGGCCCTCAGAAACAGAACTCCGGCATTCCAGGGATTGTGGCTAGTGACTGCTGCTGATGGTACTCTTAGAATCATAGAATTCTAGAGTTGCCAGGGACCCCCAGGGTCATCTAGTCCAAGTCAACTAATGCATCCATGACAGATGGTCATCCAACCTCTGCTTAAAAACCTACACGGAAGGAGAGTTCACCACCGAAGGAGTCCATTCCACTGTTGAACCGCTCTTAGTGTCAGAAAGTTCATCCTAATGTTTATTTGGAAGCTGCTTTCATGTAACTTGAAGCCACTGGTTTGGGCTCTATCCTCTGGAGCAGGAGAAAACAAGCTTGCTCTATCTTCCATCTGACAGCCCTTCAGATAATTGAATATGGCTATCATCTCTCCTCTCAGTCTTCTCTTCCCCAGGCTAAACATATCCAATTCTATCAATCATTCCTCATAAGGCTTGGTATCCAGACCCTTGATCATCTTGGTCGCCCTCCCCTGCACAGCTTCTCAATATTCTTCTTAAATTGTGGTGCCCAGAATTGGGCACAGTAATCCAGGTGTGGTCTGACCAAAGCAGAATAGAGCAGTACTATTCATTCCCTTACTCTGGACACTATACTTCTGTTGATGCAGTCTAGAATAGCATTAGCCTTTTTTGCTGCTGCATCACACTGTTGGCTCGTGTTAAGCTGGTTGTCTACTAAGA